CTCTGACCTGTGGTTACAGGACCTGACCCTGTCCTGTCTTTGCTCACAGAGCACATTTAGCTAGGACCTGTCTCTGCAAATGTCATGAGAAGCAGATGAACTGGACCAAGCTTGTGTGTCCCACATACACAGGAGAGCATATGGAAGATCCAAACAAACAGCATTTCTTGTGACAGGCTAAGTTAGAATGAGCTGTACTTGACCCAGCGAGTGCTAATACTATGCTTAACATGGCTACTTGTTGAGTAAGGCACTTCTAGTGCACAAGGACTGAGGACTGCATCCTGGAAGCATAGAGCATACTTTCTAAGTCTGTGAGATGTATAATCAGAAGAAAATTCAGAATGACTGCTTTTCAAAGGCTGACCCAGTTTTCACCTTATTTCCTTGGAAATTGGTCAGGACTCAGGCAAAAATGTGTGGCATGCTACAAGAATGCTGCCCCATTTGTCAGTAAGTCTGGCCTACCATTTGCCAAGGAACGCCCCTGATATTTTGGAGCAGGAATAAGTTCAAGAAAGTCTTCCTCCAATGTGACTAAAATATTTGTCATTTCTGCCTATCATCATTCAAACACTTCCATCTGGTTGGGTTTTAATGGCTGGATACTCCACTGCATGGCACAGTGTTTGTGAAGAAGTGATTCCTCTGAGCAGTCAGAAGAGCTTCCCAGAGTGAGACTGTTTTACTTCGATTCTTCCTTCTCCTGGCTCTTGGAAGGAGGGTTACTTGCGCCGAGAAATGAAAATCCCTCCTACTAATCTACGCTATCTTTGATCTTCCCTGTTTATGCAGTAGAGAGCTGATATTTCCTTACCTAGCTTAGACTGACTGAGTAATCATCTCCTGTAGTTATTCATATGAGGTTCAGATGCTAAAACGTGAAGCTGATGACAGGAGGAAAATATGGATGGAAGCATCAAAAATTGCTGCTAAATTTTTAAGAGTTGTAGGCAGGAAAAAATTAAAGCTCTAAGCTCATCACATTTAACGATGAGGACTCCAAGGATTTATAATCCCATGGGGCACGAACTTGAAAATGTCTGTGAGCCAGGAATGAAGTCCAGGCTCCTAACCTGGCACTTTCTCTCAAGTTCCCTAGCATCCATGTACTTGCACACAAGCAGCAGAACTCCAAAATGTTTGATGTAAGCTGGTATGGCTAACCCACAAAGTTTGGCATTCAAATTACATGCTGATTCATGGAGATGTTATTCAAAACCCCTGTAAAAGTAGGAAACCTTGAGTAAGAGATTTTTATTGTTGTTGCTGTTATTCAAACATATGCAGAAAACAGCTCTTTTTTTTCAGATTTTTCCGGACCCTTTCTGGACCATTTGTGACAACGTGCACACAAAGGATTTTTTTTTTTTTTGATGGGAAAAGGAGAGAGAAATCTTAGGATTTTGCAAAAGCTTTGGGTCAGATTTTCCAAGGCCAAATTTTGAACATAAGTCTCCTGTGTAGTCCAGAGAGTCCACAGCACTAATAGTGCTGTAGAGGAAACATGCCTTAGGAATTGTTTTAAAGTGGCACCATGGCCCATGTTGCCATGCCCAAAGCTTCGCAAAGCCTTTCCAACCCAACTTGAGAAAACATCCTCCTCTTTACAAAGGGCTTCTCTTGCTCTTTCTCATCTTGAAAACAAACAAGCAAACTCCCTCCAAACCCAACCAGACTTCTTGATCCAAACACAAATGTGGTCTAGTTCTGTGACCCTGGCAGTCTAGATCTACACAGCTCCTACCCAACATGATGCTTCTGTGCAGAGTATGGCAAGTCCTTGCAGGGAGGAACTTTTAACACCAACCAGCCTACCTGGAGAGGCCACCTAGTTATGTGCTGTGGCAAACAGAAGCAGAAACACAAGGTAGTCTCATTCCTAGTAAGAATGTGCTGAAGAAAGATTGGCTTTCTGCCTCCTGTAACCCTGGGAGATCTGATTAATTAATAATAATAAAAAAGCAAATTACTTTGTCCTTGCATCTGCTTCACAGATGCTTCACATTTTACCTGCTTCACAGATAAAAAAAAAAAATCTAAGTATTTTTTCTTTCACCTCTATACAGTTAGTACTTAATTCTAAGTAAGCCTCTAAATGCTTACTAGGATGAAGTATAACAGGAGATATGAGTTTGTACAGCTCACTTGTTTCTTGAAACAATTCCACTAGGACATTTCAGTGCATACTGAAGTTTTGGTCTTTGTCCTTCAAGAACATCAGTTCTCGATTATGTGTCATTTCTGATGGCTGTTCATTGAACAAAGACACCCACAATGTGGAAATAAAAACATTTCCCCATAAAAAGTAGTTTTACATACTATGTTCAAATCATATTCAAATTCACAGTGGAAACATTATCACACTGCCTCAGACACAAATTCAGGCAAGCATTTCAGTTCAAGTGATTCAGAGGAGCTAGTGAATAAATAGTACCATCACTGTGTTTTGATGCAGAAATGTAATGGCCATTTCTTGTGTGGAAATTATGAGCAGATGAGGAGGTCTCTGTTCTGTAAATCTGGGCTTGCATTTCGCAGCAACCAAACTTACTCAGCAGAATGAAAAAATCCCTTCGGAAAGTCTTTGTGAAAATGGCATAGAGGAAAGGGTTGGCACATGAATTGATGGGGAAAAACAAAACCAAAAGAATCTTGGATTTGGACACTGTGATGAGAGGAACCTTTAGTGAGGCTGATATTGCAAAAAAAGATATTGGTGCCATGCAGAGGAAGTCTGTGAAGATCAGTATGGCCATGCGTTTGGCAATCTTGGTGTCGCTGTTTGAAGAGATGACATTAGGGTTTCTCACAGTGAAATATATGCAGATGTAGCAGGCACTTATGATCACAAATGCAAGTACATTCAGCACTAAAAGAAAAATAACATAAGTCTGAGAAAATGATGTTTCTATATCCATGGGCAAACAGATGCTGACCTTCATATAGCTGCTGACTCCAAAGACAGGGAGAAGTGCCACTGTGAAGGCAAACATCCAGCCAAAAATCATTATAACCACGGCATGACGAAGTCGAACCTTGCGGTCCAGCTGCATGGCATAGGTGATGGTGTGCCACCTTTCCAGAGTTATCGCAGTCAGGGTGTAGACTGAGAGCTCACTTGCAAACACTGTAAAAAATCCTGCGGCATTACATCCTGCCCCAGTTTGCCAATCTATGGCATAGTTGTAATACTGGCTTTTGGTCTGGATATCTACAGATGCAATCAACATGAGGTAGATACCGATGCAGAGGTCTGCAAATGCCAGATTGCACATCAGAAACCGAGGTACAGTGAGTTTGTATTGGCTGCTTATTAAAATAACAAGGACAACGATGTTCCCAGTGATAGCCAGGATGCTGATAAACCATATCAGGACTCTGAGAATGTTGTATCCCATGATATCTTCACATGGATTGAAAGCATCGGGTTTAGGTGAACAAGCTACATTAACTACTTCATTGCATAAACCGTAGTCAAATTCTTTCTCTGCTGGACCAAACCCTATGCCATTGTAGGAAATAAAATCTTCAGTCGCAGATCGTCTGTGCCTCTTATCACCATGCTGTTCATCAAGGTCTTGCTTCGCCTGAGATATACTACATATTGGATGTAATTCAGTGCTGAAATTGTAAAAAGAGTAGAGTTGGAAACTAAGAGACACAGCGAGAGGCACACAGCAAATGAGAAATCATGTAGTTTCCGACAACAGTTCTGTCCTTACGGTTAGCTGATTACAGAGACTTCCATGGAGCTTGAAATTAATGGACTGACTGGTCCCTATTTACAAGGTATTGCATGAAAATGTAAATAAACCAAATATAGGGGAAAGGAAAGCCTGATGTTTGCTGTGCTAACAACCATGCTGCGATTATCCACCTGCATAGATGCAGTCTCTAAGAAGCCTCCCTTATTTCAACTGAACTTAGCTCATCATATGTTATTGATATTCAGATTCTGCACTGGGGAAACGTGATGATGAATCACTATTTAAGACCAGACAGTGAAGTATGATTCAATGCAATTGTGCTCATAAGGAATCTGAAAAATCATAAACCTCATGTTATCTATTAATGTTACTCCTGAACTCCTTTTTCCCTAAAGTTCTCGCTAGTCAATTTGTCATATTTGATCTTGTAATTCCATCAGGGCAGAGAGCAACTCCAGCTTGTGACATTTATTTTCAGTGCCTCTTATCATGTTGGCCACTGTCCATTAACATGACATAGCAGAAATAGCATAAATGAGTCAATTCAAGGCTTCCAGATAATCTCTGGAAGATATCACAACAGATACGAACATAAGACCTGGTAGGATGTTTTGGCTAAAAACTTTCAAGGAAAATGACTTAGAAGCTAATCTGTCCCAGCCAAACATTTCTGTAGAAATAGTAGCTGTGTGAGTTTCTGTTATTAGGTCACAGAGTCAGAGTCACAGAATGGCTGAGGTTGGAAGGGATCTCTAGAGATCATCTAGTCCAATCCCCCTGCTCCAGCAGGGACACCCAGAGCACGTGGCACAGGGTAGCATCCAGGCAGGTCTTTTTAAAACAACTTGTTTTTTTTTTTTTAGAAAAAAAATAAACTAAGGAAGAGAGTTTCCTTCAAAAAATAAAGTCTTTTATGAATTAAAAATAAATTCTTTTTGAGAAAAAAACCTATGGAATGTAAAAAACTTCTTTTTTGACAGTTTGTATTCACCTTTATGTCCTGGAAGATTAACTCCCCTGCCCGTCTACTCCATGTCTAGACCAGCTGAAGAAAGGAGTGCTGTGGCTGTGCTGAAGGGATGATCAGCTCCATCCAGGTAGAAAATACCAAGGAGTTTTAGCAAATAGAGCAGCAGACACTGTGCTGCAAAGCCAACACAGTGGTTGTTCAGCTCTGCCTGTTTTCGCCAGTGGCTCAAATGATAGCAATTTAGCTGTATATATTCCAGGATAGGCTCTCGGCATGTCCTCTACTCTGACTTGCAGTGCACATGAGAGAACAGCTTGCTGGGCAAGTTAGACTTCGTATTTGTAACCTATTTTTATCCTTTCACTTGGTATACTCACTACATCTTCCACCCACCATGCCTCAAACCCATGAGTTTAAAGCATCTGACTGAGGGAAAGGAAAACTAATGAAGCCTCAGCAGCAGCAGTGGGTCAGGATCATTTCCTTACCTCCTGTGCAGTCCCGAGCATCCTCTATTATTATCAGTATTTTTTAACTTGCTTATCGGCAGAAAGCCCATTTTCCGTGTGGGCAGATATGCACCGTGGAGGTGACGGTTGCAGAACAGGGCACTGCATGGGCTGCCAGGGCGCTGCGAGCGGACGCCCGTGTGGATGGGCAGTGACAGAGGAGCGAGGCCCACAGCTCAGTGCAGCAGCCCTCATGGGTCTTGACAGCTATCACAATTGGGGTTATTACTAAATGAACCCAAGGAAATGTTATTAAACTAACATTTTTTTTTCCAGCCAGGAGTGAAAAATAAACCCAAATTATGGAGCCAGTGTCTAGACGCTACATCCATCCCACAGATAAGGCAGCCGTTTAGGGTCAGTAAAATATTTCTGTTTATTGTTGTTTGCTAATTCTTGTTCTTATTTAACACGCATAGGTCACAAATAAAATCAGAGTCCCATGAGGCTGGATGCTCTGTTCCAAGGACTGGTGCCAGGGAGTCTTCCTTCTGGTTACTTGCACCGTGAGCAGTTAAGAAAGGGCAGAGTTTCCAAAATATTAAAGGAAAGAAAAGCCTTCATTGAACATGGATCTCTTGTGACTAACATTTATGGCTTTTTTGCCCTGGAATACTTGGCCTTTTTTCTGGACAGTGCACTGGGTATAGTAGTATATTTTGTAGCCAAAGGTTGGGTCCTTGTGTCCTCTCGAAACCATATGCATTTTAACAGAGTTCATTTATTCATGCTATTTGTAACCCTTTTGTTGGCTCCGCTAAAGTGAACTGCCTGAAAAATAAAACTAGAGAAAGGACAACTTAAATAACATGGAAATTGGCAGGGCGCTCTGACAAAAGCAGACAAAAATAACAACTTTTGTACAAGTAGTCATTTTATGCACTCTGTCTGGATCTGGTGAAGGCAGGATCTTTTGTTCTGAGAAATACACTCCGCAGAATAAATAGTGCAGGTCTAGATTCCATATTAGGTCCTACCTCAAATCAATTATGCTTACTGAAAAGTGACAGCAAGTGAGTTGTGAGCAACTGATATTATGTTCTCATGAAATGAGGCCCAAATATGTCTCCTGCTGCTGCCGTGCTTTTTAAAAGTAGGTTTTCAAGTGACAGGTCTTCCACCGAACAATGATAAAGGACAGAAGGATGTGAGAGGAACCTCCACATGCACCGGACTTGTCCTTTTAAAGTTTTCATAATAATCAGTTTACTTTCCATTGGCTCAGCATTCTAGTGCAATGAATCTGCAGATCAATATTTATCATATAATTCTTCTTGGAGTGGAAAAAGTGGCAGCAAAACTGGCTATGATTTTTTTCTGTCTTGCTTCCCAGTCTTGCAGCTGGTCTGTGTTTGAGGTGACATCCTCCAGAATGCAGAAAACACTGCTGCTATAATATATTTAATCTTCCATTATCACAACAGAGCCAGTTCATGGGTGCATACGTCTTTTAACCAGGTAATAGGAGAGGTGATATATTAGAATTGAGCACTAAAAAACTCTCAAAAAGGGAAAATTTCATGTAAATGGGTCGGTCAGAAAGAGGCGTCAGATATCCACCCTAATTCCTTCCCAAACGCCCCAGCAGTCCTTAGAAAAGCCCTCCTGGGGGTTATCAGTTATCTTTTTTGTTCTCCCTGGATTATATGGAAATATTTTGAGATCTGAACAGGAGAATGAATGGATCCTGAGAAGATGTGTCGTAAGTCAAGTGACATCACTCCTCATGACAGTAAGTAACATTTGCTGCACTAAAGCTAACACAACTCTTGCCAAGGAACCCATCAAAACTCTACGATCAAGTACTGCCGACTATTAATAACTCTTAAAATCCTGGGCAGTCTTGAATGCACACACAGCTTGTGCCAGCTGTCAACAAAACTGCTTTGAAATGAAAGCAGGTGTAGCTACTATATATATATATGGTAGCTATGTATACTATAATACTAATCTCTGCCAAAATGTATGTTAATACCTTTCGTTTTCAAGAGCAGGGCACTTCATCATTCCCCTGAACTAAAATGCATCCGCTTTATGTCCTTAAACTGGAGAGAGATCACCAGCCTCTCACTATTTCAGTACTGGACACGTGACTGTATGAATGAAATGACTGATTTTAATTTTGATTTGGATTGGTTATCAGGAACAGTTATTCTCAATCATTTCGGTTACTTTCCATTTATGCCTAGTATTTTTTAAAAGATAAGACTGGTAGCCATAGCAAACATAGATACATTCATCAGAAAGATGATACACTCTACATAAGCACATTTATTCAAGTAATCATATATCAGAGCATACACTGAGATAAAAGCAGTCTTAGTTTTTATACTTTTAACCCAATTGTGAAGCACTTCTTTGGCAAGACAACGATTATTTTACTAATGATTCATGTCATATTCTAATTGCATGACCGTGTAAGTAAAGTTAAAATGTACCAAACCAGGACTGAATTGTTTTAACAGTGAAATAAAGCTACTTTGAATGTGCTGCACACAGAAAACATTTTATTTAAATGCATTTATTGAACAAAGAAATTCATAATAATGTCCAGAGATATGAGTAGATTGTTTATTGCTACCTCATCCTTCTAGATTTCAGAATGTCTCTCCTCTTTTACACCTACTTTCTAATAAACAAAAACCTTCTTGTTTTGTCAGTTACAATTACCTGGAGTTTAACTGGATTAGTAGAATAAACTAAAATGTAAAAATAAACAACATTTGCACCTGTGCAGCAGCTACTCTTTTAAAAGTCTTTTTAGATTTTTGGCACAGAAATTAATATAAGCTTGTCTATATTTTAATTTAGTTCCAAATATATTGTGAAAAAAGGTAATAGTTAAAAATGTCTAAAAATAAAAACAGCTTTACTGACTCCATTAAAACTAACTCTTAAATCTTTTTTTCTGCTGTTTGAAAGTTCTTTCACTTGTTTAAAACAAATTTTTGAGATAATTTATATTAATAATATTATCATTAACATATGGATATTAATATAAGATACAACATACTAACATGCTCATATCTTAAAATGCAAAAAGATCTTCTCTCTCAGAAGAGAAGCAGCAGCACAAAGTGTCCCCTTCTAAGAACAGAAGTCTCTCTTCTGAAGCAGGGATGAGAACAGGCTTTTGGGGTTCCCTAGAGTTCACCTCGCAAAAACAGAATATTCAGCGAGGCCTAGAAATGTCTGCATTTTTGAGGTCAAAGCAAATTTATCCTGAGAAGGCTTTTTTTTGTATAGCGAAAATAAGAAAACTTGGAGAGGTCAGCTAGGCAATTTTTATGTAGTTTTGCATCTTATGCCTCTTTGATTTTATGTAGTTTTGTACTTGTAACATCACCTTGTTTTTTTTTTTTTTAATCACCAGAAGTATTTCCTAGAAAGCTCTATGTAAAGGATTAGTTGCCTTATACTCCTTTTTTTTTATAATTATTATTATTTCATTTTATTACTGACAATTTAGATTTAGGCAACTTGTGAAGACAAGCTGTTGAGTTCCAGAAATCTATAAATTATTCTGACAAGAGAATTCCTTCCCCTTCTTGGACAGACAGTAGGAGAAGAGCTGGCATCAATACAAGAGTTTGCACAAAGAAGAACAGCTCCAGCTTGTGCAGAGCCTCTTCTTGCTGCTCTACGAGTGATACTGGAGCAGGTGGCGCGCAGAGTCATGACCAGACTTGTTCCAGGAGCAGTATTGGCCACCTCAGCATGGTGGTCCTTCCCTGCTCGCTGCCAGCCACACGTGGCTTGCACAAGCTCTGTTCAGGACTTCCCAAATTACTCCTGCCCAGGCTGTTGGGTGGCTAATGTCAGCGTTCTTGCTCTGAACACTGGCTTCTCGTGGCTTCTGGTGGCTTCTTACCTGCCGAGGGCCTTCGAGTGGGCTGAACAGAGAGGGAACTGTGTGCCGTGGGTTTACATCCTCAAGGGCAAGGGTGGCAGTGAAGTTACTTATGACCCAAATGATGGGATGAGTTACTGAGATCTTGCCAAAAGGTCAGTCACATTTCCTCCTGCAACTTTTTTCAATGAGAGGAGTGACTCCTACTTTGTTTTTGAAAAATCTAGGAGAGTTTCCTATCTTGAGGGGGTAGATTTTGGGATTTGGGTCCCGATTTGACACCAGCAGTCCAGTTGACTACTGCCAAGTCTGGTCAAACATGCAAATCATATGATGGTAACAAAATCCCTTTGCTCATTCAGCTTTTCAGGACTTGGCACACTTCCACTGAATCAATGGCAACTATCAAGTTGCCATCAGTTGTGGAAGGACTGGGAGCATTTCTGCTGTTCAAGCCACCAAGCACTGCGCCTGCATAAGCTAGTAGAAGCACGTGAAAATATCACCTTCTGATAAACTCTCCTAGCAAAAAACTTAGTGTTTTGGCTCAACCGTGGCCAATGAGCGATTGATTCTGCCAGATACCCCCCTTTATCACCTTTGTATTCTTCATAGAGTGTTGCAAGCACAGGTAAGTGATGTGTATTAGCTATCATCAGCACAAGTGACATGAGGCATCTTTCACTGCCTGGTGACAATATAATGCTTAAAATAAAATAAATTGCTATTATAAGTATTAAAGTGTAGTAGTAGTTTTTGCTTTCTCTGTGTGTTTTTACCTTTCTTTGAAGTTTTAGGCAACTTTTGAAGACAGTGTCTTGAATTATAACCATGATAAGTGCTTTCTTTTATTTTTCTTTTTTTTTCCTGTCACAGCGTTTAAAGTCTTTAAAGACATTTCGCAAAGGAAGAACTTGCAACAAAAATGAGGAATTCCATAGGTACCAATCCTGCCAGTTTTCCAGAGGCACAAATTCAGGAGGTTCATTTACTAATTAATATTTATCTTTTAATTCCTCCAGAGGAGCTGAAAATAATTGATAACAATCTTTGACCTCACTGCATCTTGCTGATAATAAATTACAACTACTATGGGAATTTACTTTGGGAGTCTAACATGACCCCACACCTGATTCTTGTTAAAGAGTATCTAAGTTAGCCAATTGAGGAATCACGCCTGTAAATGAAGTTTATGCAGATAATGCAGATAACTATGTTTAGTCATATTGATTTCTAGCAACAGAGTGACTTCCTGAGAAAAGAGGGTAAGACAACTCAATGATCCTGTAACCTTCCTGAATTGAGGGTCAAATATTGGCAAGTTTCTGAGGAAACTTTGCATTCCTTCCAACTACCTCCTGAAAAGTTACCAAGCTGTTTCTCCTGAAAGTTTTCAGTGTGCCCCTGGGTTGATCCAGGACTGCTGGTGTCAGTAAAAGACAGCCTTAGGACAACTATGGGCTAGAGTTTTGGCTGGGGAAGATATTGACGTTAGTAGAGCTACCACCAACCTGAAATACACAGTGTACTGTGTAACATGCATCAAAATTATGTAGCTGACATCTATTTACTTCTATCCATTAACTCACATGTGCTTAAGAGGCATTTCTTATCAGATTTGGAACAAGCTTATTTAATTCACTATCAAAGCTGAGAAGCAGCAAAAACAAATGAAATAATTACTTACTTTTGTCTTTTCCAGTTTGTAAATGCACAGCAATGGCTAGGATAGGTGAAGTTTGCCTCAATCAAAGAACTGAATTTGCTTAAGTCAGGAAGTTTTTTTAAATTGTATGTAGATCTTGCTCTTAGCTTCTTAATGAGTTCTAATCCATGACTTGGCAAAAATCTGATTTTTGTCCTTGAAATATCCCTTAAGAAAACATACGAAAACCTTGGTAAAAAGCAAATTAACTTCTTCTCAACACTGGATGTACGTTTTAGCCTGCCCTGCTCTTTTTCAGAGTAGCAATTGGAAAGAGGTCATCTAGAAAACCACACTGAAAATAGGATTGAGGGATAGATTAGGAGTTGCTCAAGGAGACTTGAACTAATATATTCATTGCAAACAATAATCAAGTGATGCTAGTCTGGTTTAAAAAACAAAGCCCATAACCTTCTGGAGTACGAATTAAGTGTGACAAAAACCATTAGCTCCGTGTGATTCTGGGTTTAGTGAAGAGTGAAATTAATGCACCAATTACCCAAGCACCCTTTTGCCATATACAAAGGCTGATGGAATCACAATATAAGTCTGTTATGGTCCTCCTGGACATCTCATTACAGGAAGGCTACTGTGGAAAAGGTGAAAATACAAAAGGCAATACATACAAGGATCACAGAGGGTAACAGATATGAAGACAGGTGGGGAATATAATAATATGAATATTATTAAGAAGCAAAGAGATTAAAGGCAGACAGGGTGATAAGGTTCAAATTGCAAGGTGTGAAAAATATTATTTTTTCTCCAGAACTTGAAAAAACAAAGAGAGCACAGACTGAAGCTAAGGAATGGGTGAGATTACAGGAGGTGAGATGTATTTATGAGGAAGGCAATTACTGTGTGGAGCAGACTATCAAAGGCCCTGATGGAAACAGCAACGATGAATGTGCGAAAGAGGCAGCAAGGGAAAATTGTTGCATGGTGCAAACACTAAATCGTGACTTGTGCCTCACAGCAGGGAGAAGGGAAGGAGGATCAACCATTCCTCATCAGCCAGGAAAGGGCTGCTTAGGAACCCATCCCCATGTGACAGCTGGGGCAAGTTGTCCCCACATTTCCTTGCCTGGAGCACAAACTGTGCTCTGCAGCCTGTGCCAGCAAGAAAGCACACTTCCTTCTGCTGCAGCAAAACGGACTAAGTAACATCATCCAGGCCTCCCTTAGCCACTGCACTTATGTCACGAGACTGATACAGGATCCAACACTTGCTAAATCTGCTCTATTTTTCATTTTGTCTAACAAAAGGAAAATATTTTCCCTAAAAAATCAGCCTGACATCATTTAATATTATCTCCATCCACCTTGGAGTTATTTTTCAGTTCATGTGTAACAGTCCTATGTCAGGACATTATTTGATTTTCATTGCACAATGCACACAAATTATTTTTAGTACCACATTAGTGCAGAATCATGGTGCCACATGTAGGAGAGACCAGATTTTAGCAGCATAAATATAGTTCAGACAGCTGCTATGCACAGGACACAGATTTGCACCTCCACTCTCCATTCTGAGGAACAAAATTAATACCAGGGAATGTTTCCAAACTCACAACATTAGCTGAGGTCAGTCAAGTCTAGCAAATTCATATTAGCTGCCAATTATTGGCAGGTGGGTAATCATAGAATCATAGAGTCGTTATGGTTGGAAAAGACTTTCAAGATCATCAAGTCCAACTGTGATGATGGTCTTCGTGTCCATGATGTGCCCACTGATGGTGCTTTGGAGTTACTCCTCATGCCTAGAGGGCTGCAGCACACAGGCCCTGCCGGAATATGGGGTAACAGAGAACCCCCTTGGCAGGCTGAGGGGAACTATCCTGATGTGCCCAAGCAGAAAATGCTGGCAAGCCCTGGCGAGTGCCCTAAACTCTGCCCGCCTTAAGGATCTGGCTCCAATCTCTGGTCCCTCTCTGGTCCTGAGGTTGTTCTGGGGCTGAATCTTCTCTGGAAAAAAACTAAAAGCAGCAGCTTAAGGGAACCTTAAGCTTTAAATTTCTTTACTTAGACACATAGAGCGGCAATTAGGTTACAAATGGCAACCTCAATTGTTTCATGGATGGATTATAGTCCTTTGTAGGCTGCCTAATGAAAACTGTCACCTTGAATATATATTCATGACTAAACAAGTAAACTGAAGTTTTCTGCCAAAATCCACAGACAGTATCTTTCATGGCATCATTAAGAGCCTATGGAACTTTAGAAGGCTTTATAATTCCAAACAAGGGCATGAAAAATATTTTCTTTGGCTTGTTAGCTGAAAATCTCCAGCAAGCCCAAACAGTTATTATGCTAGCTGGGAAATAACAAGCATGAATAGGAATATCATCTAGCCTTAAAAATAGCTAAAATGTTACTGGGTCTCTTGTCATCTCTAAACCTAAAATAATACTTAAATATATTCCTGAAAAAAATATCCTCTTGTAAATATCTTTTTTTTTTTGAGTGCTATTACACATAAAAAGAAGCAAGTTGGGCAAAGTGCTTTGCATGGGATGTACGTGGTTTAGCACCTTACTCCATGGAGTTGTCACAGAGCAGACCTCAGTTCAGAGGGTCCTTGAGGCCTCACTCACTGCTTGACACCAGCCTTGAGAGCAGCCAGTGTGGGAATAGCAAAATTAATCCAAGTTCTCTTCCTATCAGTTCCCTTCCCCACTGGGAGTTGTATTAGCAAAATATACTGACAGTGGATAATCTCATTTAACTTTGAAAGGTGCATAGAAAAATATTAAGAAAAGGCAGGGATGGTGGGGGTCAATAGCAGTGGACTGACCATTGATATGAATCTTTTCAGAGGCAGCATCTGAACTGCCCTCTGGAAGTGCTTCAGGAGCTGAGCCGTCTTGCTGGAGACGTGCTGGAGTGCCCCGGGCCTTGGGCATCCTTCTGAAGACAAGCTATGAGGGCAGGATGGATGCTCACCACACCATGCTCTACCTCAGCTGCAGTCAGGGAATTGAGCCCAGAATGGAGCAGCAGAGTTATATTCGTAGAGAGGGCACCCCTGCAGCTTCCTGTGCCTCACTGGACCACCCCAGTTCTTAATGCTAATAGAAGGCAGAAGCTCCTATGGACTTCAATAAGTGACCCAGCCCCTAAACCTGGTGTAAGCTACTATTGCTCTGGGAGCACCAGAAGAGAAATAAAGGAAACAAAATGGCTGCAAATTGAGGTAGGAAAACTGAAGTGGGAAATGAAGTGCATTTTTTTGTGCGGAAGGGAAGCATATAGGTGTAAATGTAATTGCCCTTTTGATTTACTTGCCTATTGTCAATGTTGAAATTGTTTAACACAGAAAGTAGTGTCTTTCCAAATGTGATATTCTAATTCAGCCAAAAGCTGTAAGCCTGAGGAAGGAACTGATCTGCGAAACTGTGTAGCCTGAATAAGGCAGGCCAGGTGATAAGTCTGGTGCATTGTGACACTCATATTTGGGTCTAGGAAGATGTCATGTTATTTCAGTAATTTGAAAACTAAAACAGAAGATGGTATTAATAGGGATGGCATTAATTAAACACTCCAACATTTCTAATAAAATAGTGGAGCCTGCAACATAAATTTGTTTTCAACAACACTATTTTCCCCAGCACAAATATTATTATGAGTCCATCATTTCTGTAAGTGAAGTCATTTTTCTGGTATAGGCTGCAGTGACAGACGAATAGAAGACTCCTCTTTCATGATCTCAGTCAGAATAAAAAGGTAATTTACCATCCATAGAATAGTGGACATACTAGTAATGGAACAGAAAACTTCTTACACAAATAACTCAGTGTTAGAAATTGAACTACCAAATGAATCTGAACTACAGCCAAATCAATTTGATAAGCCTCCAGAATATGATTGTATCAACTACAGTTTGTAAAGAAAACGCATTAACTTCTCGCTCCAGGAAATAATGTTTTTCCAATGGAACATCAAGTGTATTGCTGCTGAAAGGATGCTCCATTGGCAGTCTTTTCTAAAGAAGAAAGGCATTTTGAGGGAATGATGCAAGCGGTGTAAATTGCCGGTAACCTGTGTGGTGGCTCTTTATATCCTAAGCGCACTGAACATGGCAAGCTGGAAGAAGGCTTTGAACTGTGTATTTGAGACCTCTAGAAGAGCTCTTATCTCAACTTAAGATTGGCATTTTTCTCTGCCTTTTTAAAGATTTCAAACCACACTAAACCACTGATTCAAAGCACTCCTTTTTGCCCCTTTTGTATCCTTTCTGGACAGAAAGGCTGTGATGATTTGGTGACTTAAAAAAAAGTCATGTGCTTACTACAGCTCTTACATATTGTGGCCTTGGCTCAGAAGCCAAAGCAGCCATGCACAGTCACAGGGCAGGGATTTTATCTTTAGAATTAACTTTTGGAGCTGCAGGGCAAATCCTCAGCAGTTTAAAATTGTTCAAGGCTGTGCAATTCAAATTTAAGTACAGAGCACCAACTCTGCACAGAACTTAAGCAGAACTTCTCTCTTACTCAGCTTTGGAGAGGAATCTGGATCTAATACCTGGATCCATATGCTCCAAAAACCTTGAGCATAAAGTGAAAACTTGGATCTAGACTGATATTTCAAATATAGCTTCCTTTTTTTTATATTCAGACAGGTAGGTCCGATTTTGACCTCTAACATTTGTGAGATGTTAAAATCCAGACATGCATTCACTTTTGAATGCTGTATTCTGTCTGTTCTTTTCTGGGGAGTTAATAATGAGAAAAAAAGAATCTAAATATTACTTACAAAACGACTGGGCCATTGGCTCCATGAAAGACTTCATTCGGTAATTTTTCTAAGTTGTGGTTATCACTAAGATTTCTGTAAAACAACAGTATCAATGCTAAAACAATCTGATAATAAAAAAGCCTTCAGGAGTTGCTACTTGCTAATAATTGCTTAGCAGACTACTAAATAACAAAAATAGTTACAGCTCATCCAGGTAGGTTCCATTAAATGCATGATTTTTAATTTCTCGAATTCCATTTTTATTTAGCCATCTGCAATAGAGAAAAAACACAGAACAGTTACGTTCTTATATATATTTCCTAACTAAAACATACCTAATTCAAACTGACCAGCAAAAGGATAAGGTGATTTCAAGCCTGTAATTCCTAAATGGATATTTAAATTAGGAAATTTCTATGAAAGGTGAGAAAGTCCCACTGATTGAAACTTTGGAGAGTACAGATCTGAGTAGGTCAGATCAGCATTATCATTAGAAATGATATCTAGAGCAAGTTTTTAAACTGGTGTTAGATAGACCATGATAGACACATGGATTTGGGCATGGTTTTGCCCATAGCTTTCCCTGATGTGTACAGGAAGACCAGTGAGGCTATTCCAGCCTGAACCCCTGGATCATGGTGCAGAAGAGGCTGCCTGCAATGCAGCAGGGCAGCACGCGCAGGGGAGCAGAAATCACCAGCTATGCTGCTGAATTCCTTCGGTACCTGCTGCCTCTCCAAATTACACTCCCTGGCTGCTCCTGTGCTCATAACCCTGTGTGTCTGCCTTTGCGAGATGGAATAGGTAGCAATACTGGGAACCAAAACTCCTGGAGCTTTCTGCCAAGGTTTTACTGTAGTGCATTAACTAATTAATGTTTAATGTCCTTCTCCCTCTTCCCTTCACGGTCCAAAAAATTTACACTTGGGTCAGTTATACTTATCATTTATATAGTGTAATCTTTCATCTCCTTTTAAGTGTCACTTTGCAACTCACACCCGCTCCAGCACAGGGTGACAGGCCTGATTGATGACAAAAATGGAAAGATTTAATTAAACTGTCACCAAACCTGGACATTTTATTTCTAATTCACACTGAAAGTTGAGCATGCAAGTGCCCAACTTATCTAAGGTCTGAGATGGTGAGCTAAGGTCAACATGAAAATCAATTACGGGCTTGGCTGAGAAGATTACCCTTATGACCATGAAAGGCAGATGTGCCCAGCTCCGTATATGTAACGTGTGTCAGATCAGATCAGGAAAGCTGTCACCATCCCCTTCACTTGCAAGCACTATGAGATGTGAATGAGCAGGCAAAGAGGAGAGACATGCCCCTGCTTATAGCATTTGAAACATTTATTCTATTACATTGATCTTACCCATTCATAGCTGCCAGGTTGATATATATGATTTTAATCACTGTTTTAGCACTTACTGCATTCTCTCACGGAACATGATGCTAATGCAAGGAGATACCAATGCTGTAAAGCCAAGCCATTACTGCTGCTGTGCAGTGTGCCCTCTACGCTGCTGTCGCCTGGAAAATTGCACCCAAGCAGTAAAAAGAGCAAAGATACTACCTGAATCCTGAGTGCTTACTATAATTCTTTCCTGGACAGCTTTCTATGGCGACAAATTCTTCTCTCACTCAAATCAGCATCCTTACTAGCACCACATAAAATGGAAGTTTTACTTTAGTAACAAGTGCAAATTGATGGAGAGATCCAGAGATCGGACCTATATGCTTTTGATTACTATTTCATGGCTACAGCGCTATATTTAAAAACAATATTCAATTTACTAAGTGCTAGAGGCCACTGCCTCTGAGCTACTATTTACACCTTAATTTGGGAAAGCTCTGTTCTAGGCTCTAAAATCTACAGTTTCAGCTTGTGCTGGTCCCACGCATGGCAGAAGATTAGTTACTGGTTTAAATGTGCTTGGAGCAAGACACAAGTAAACCTGCTTATACTGGCAGTCCCAGAGTGTTCCCCAGAGTGTGGGGGTGCTAAAGGGTCCTGGGCTTTAAATGCTATTTTGGCATGTCTGTTTTCACAGATTATGCCTTGTTTCACAGATTACTTGCTGCATAGTGCTCCCACAAAACAAAATTCCATATGATCGGCAAATATTTTCATTATAAGAGAAAGGATTAAGTAATACATTCAGAGTATCATTACTTGAGCACAATTGAAATACGAATCTGTGAATATCTGAGGGGTTAGTGTTAAGGGATTTGTGTTAAAACTTTAAAGACTATGACATAGATGGTGGGTGCTGATGACTGATAGGGAAAAAGGAGAGATAATAGCGAAGTGACTTGTTATTAGCGTATTTTGGGCAATCTCCAAGCACTGATGGTCTAACCCTGCTCCCACCAAAATCAATGCAAATCCCATCAGTCAATCAGATCATACTTGTCTGCTTTGGCATCTGAGGCAAACTACATAGCACAGTAGGTAACTTTCCCAGTCTGTCTTCTGGCTAGGTGAAATTAAGGTAGCCTGATAGTAAGCAAATACTACATTTTGGTATATAAAAGACCAAAGAATGCAGGTAGTAGTTCATTAAAAAACATGACTGTTGAAGTCAAATGAAAGGACATCTAACTACACAGCATGAAAGTGCATTGTGAACTGGCCTGTATCAATTCATTAACACTGTGTATAAGCATACCATATTTCCACACTATCTACATATATTTTGCCTCAGTAATTAATGCCTTTGAATGATGCATCTGACTGTAAATATTTATGAGTCAAGCCATCCCTTTGAACAAAATGTGTATCACATGGAATTGCTGTATGTAGAATATGTTTAACCTTGGTATCAGTAATTACTTCATTTATTCTATGCTGTAGTTCTAAAAGAAAGAGCAGGATTAGAATGGAAACAAACCACAAAAGCATTCATTCTTCATGGCAGGAAAATAGAACACACAGATTTCAGGAGTAGGGGAGAAGTCTAAAAACGTTGAATTGATTTTGGAAGTCTACATAATAGTGCCCATCCCAGGAATAAATAAGTTTTTCTTGACCCTATTCTGGAAATGAAATGAGCAAACAAGCAGAAGAATGGATTTGTTATTTCTTACTCACATAATCACACTTTCAGAACTCAGGCCCATGAACGAATTACTTTCAATTGTACGTATATTGATATTGTCTTGAATGTCTCTGAAAAATAAAAGATAACTTTTTGTACCTCTATCAGCCTTTCAATAAGAAAAGGTATTTCAAACATCAAAGGTATTTTTCCTTATATTCAATTTGATGAACTATTTCATGCTAAAGATAGCAAATAAAGTTTCTAGTATTTTCATTAATAGAGCACAAACCTTCCTGGCAAAAAAAAAAAAAAAAAAAGACTGAAGTCAAATATTTCCAAACTGTTGCTCTTCTTACCTTCATCCTAAACAAGCTCAAACTATTAAAATATATAGAAGCCTGGGTCTGAGAATCCTCACATGGATAATATGTATAAGATACTCCAAACCAGAATATACCTCTCAACCAGAAGTCATGAGTCTCTTCAGCCTGATTCAGCAGAGTACCTAAAAGTCTATGAATAATTCCCCTGCCAGTGTCAACGAGGTTGCTTATAAGCTTTGTATGTGCTTAAGAACTTCGGACGTGGGGCCCCTGTCAGTTGGGTTTGTTGAACTGACAAGTATTCATTTCAGCCTTTCAGCAGTTTTGACTAGTGTAAAAAAAGAACTGCAGATTCTGTTGCTTGCTCAAAATAGACCTCAAAGAAGTTAAACAGTATTACTCATAATTTAGACTGGAAATATGGTTGTTTCCATGCTGTTTCTATTGGAAAGCAGGGAACAAAATGAATTATCTGCAAAGTTTGAAATTAAATGCAGTTCCAAAATTATCTCACCCTTACAGTTAAATATGGCCACAACACTGCATTAACTCAGAGTTATACAGAAAGCTCAAGTCAAGATCAGCACTTAGAAACAGGGAGAGCGGCATCACTAGAAGCAAGATTTACCTCTGCCCTAAGTACAAGGCCTTTACAGTTTCATTAACCAACGAAGATCTGTCTTTCGGATTTAAATCTTGGGAGAACTGAAGCCAAAGGGTAATTTTTTATTGAGCTCAGTGGGGTCAAGGTTTAAACCAAAATCTATTTTGGGACTTATGTAGTGTTAAGGCCTAGTTAGCTCTATAGAAAGTAAGGAATTTCACCTGAAAAGGAAAACTCTTGTGCACCAGTCCACAATAATTCAAATCAAGCTAAGAATGATGATAATCCTAAAAGCTCATGGCAATAATGTTCTGTAGCTTTGTATCTGTTGCATTTGCTTTATGGTTTCACACAGCCCTTAAGTGCAGTTCCCAAAATTACATATTAAACAAATTTATTTCTTAGAATACATATGTATACAATATACAGACATCTCCAATTTTTCTGCACACATTTCTTCATTTTCATGACCATTAGTAAGATAACTGCAGAATTAATATTCCCACAAATTGAAATCTTCTAATCAAAGACTCAAAAATCTTTGAAGATTCAAAAATTTAAAAATTCTGTTTTATTTTAACTTAAGGAAGATAAGAAATATCTGCTTATTTCCTAGATTTTCTGTGTGCTATACTATAAAAAGAACGATTGAAACTCTCCGACAAGTTCTTTGTCAGCGAAAAACAACAAAAACTGCTAAATTACATGCAGTTTTTATAAGAAAGTGTCTACTTTCGCACAAAAATTCATACAAATATTTTTTCGCTATTAGCACTGGAGTTTTCCCTAGCAATATTTCATTCCTGGACTGTTTTACTGCCAGAGAAAAGAAAAAAAAAAACATGCTAGGGATATTTTCTTGTGGTTTGGTTTGTGATCTGCAATGTGAACATCTGCCCGCTGAGATTGGGACTGAGAGCAGCCACTCGGCTCCTTCAGGCCATAGAGCTGTCACCAGATGCCAACAAATTTCCACCTCCATCAGCCTGGATTGAATTGTGGTTGGTGAACCAGAAGTAGGAGTCGTTTTCAGTCCCCTGGGCCACGTAGCTCCACACTCCTCATATAGGTAAAGGAAGAGCTTTGAGGAAAGCAGACCCAGAGACAGACCCTTTAGAATTACAAACAAATAGGCTGTCATAATGCTAGTAAATGAAGACAAGGAGACTCACATTTTGAAAGGTTCTGTTAGAAGAGCAGAACATGCAAATGGAGCTGCTAAAAAGTTGGAAACAGACTTAAAACTTACAGCAAAACTTTCTGGAAAGACCGGACCTTATGGAGAGCAGGTAAAAATCTAAGACCCGTATTTGATATTAACCTGAGGAAGAGAGAACAAGTGAACATTATTAGGGGTGAAGCAATGATTAGCAGAGAAAAAAACACAGGGGATTTGAAAAAATGTGGCTGCAAAATGTAGACTTCAGCCACAAATGTAGGGATTGCCCAAGGTAACTCTACATTGGAATATAAAAGGGTTTTCCTCAAAAGCACTAGCTAGATCCTGCCCCCACTGAAGTTAACAGTGAAACCCTGCTTTGGATATTCACATAATCCCTCTGGATGATCTCAGAACAGCTCTTGTCCTAATTTCCTAATGATACTTTCAGAAGTCAACTGCACGACACAGAATAATTATTTTCATAGCAGCAGCTCTTCTAAAGAAAAAAGTACAAATCTATTTACTGTATTTTTAACTTTCTGTTTTTAAGAGTGGATACATTAATTCCATTAGAAATAACATGAGAGAAAATGCTTTATTTGCCAGTAACTTCAAGAGTGAGGAGCTGAGCACACATGAATGCTCTGCTGGAAAGGGGACTGAGCCCCACCATGTAGAGCTGAAACCACCTGCCACTCTGCACGGCACTGCCGATCGCGTGCAGCTCCGTTTTGGTTGATGCCCACCAGGCACAGTGACTTGGAAGCACCAACTCCAGGGCTTCTTCTTGGGGCAGAAAGGAAGCGGGGCCACAGGGACTAACAAAGATACACCAGGTTGAATATATCAATAATGGATAAATATGGTTATCAAGAACATGAGCAAGGACAGGACAAAAGCAGCCAAGGTTGCTGCTGCACAGAAAGAGATGGCCAGTGGTTGCCCCAGGTCATGTGGGTAGCCCAAAGGAGGAGGGTATGTGAGGCTGGGAGCTGCCTTGGCCATCAAATATCTCATTACCATTCCAATGCTACCCACAAAGAGAAAACTTGGGTTCTTTAAAGGTTAATTATCTCTTTGTATCTTTAATATGGAAGCTGGTAGAGAAGATAACCTTTAGTGAGAATATTGGTTCCTTAAGAAGTGCATTAGCTCTATACAGAAGGTATTTTTTATCTTGGCATTGAAACAGAACAATAGTTTTCTGTTGCTGGATGTTATTTTGCACATCGACTCACAATAATTAAATGATGATAAAAGACACCAGAACTGGAAAAGTTACAACATTTATTTTATATTTTTTATGAACCAAGATTATCTCAGGAGAGCTGCTGAAAGATCTTTCAGGTTTCATGAAAGGAACTGAAACTGAACACCTAAACATGACAACCACTTTCTACATTTGGGCACTAAGAGTGACATGTATGTCCATAAAACAGTTATTCACTTTCATAAGTACTGATCCGAGCTCCCTGAAGTGACACCTGGATAGTCTCAGGCATTCATATTGAAACAATCAACTTGTTATCTCTCTAATTTTATAACCAAAAGCATTGCATTATGTGTAGGAAAAAAAAAAGTACTGAATATTCAAGGAGACAATTTGGGGAAGTTGATGAAATGTCATGACTATTTTGCCCTGGGAATTTGAGTGGTCAGATATTGCATTAGCTTCAAAAAATCACAGTTCTCGTGTCACAAAGAAAGGTCTACGGAAATGCCCTTGCAAAACTACTACATACAGTTAAATAGAAGGCAAGATTAATGAAGCAAATGGATTTCACAAATCTGCTATTATTTAAAGTACTTTTGCACTTATTACTCAGGAAAGTATTTAGCCAAAAAAAAATTAGAATCAATAGAAGAACCTGCAGCTCCACCCTTACAGTATTTTAAAGTACACTCTCTAAACTACTAGAGATGTACAAGGTTTTAGCTGAAAGGTTGCCTTTAATTTTAAATGAGTCATGAGTCAAAATCTAAGAGCCACTTGTTAAATACAAATTACAGCATGCATTTAGTTTAATAATTAAACGATGAAAAAAACTACTGCCAACTAGTGTGTGGCTGTTGCAGGGCTCAGGAGAAGATCTGAAAATCTTTCCTCTCTCCACTACTTTGCCAGTTGAATGAAGCAATGATGGGCAGTGGTACTCTGACATATGCTATTCAGACACTATTATTTCCAGGGCTGATTCACTGCAAACATCTCAGAATGCCACCCTGGCTAGCAGGGCTTTCAACATGGATGTGTAAAGAAATGCTTTCCAAGCCTTGGGCTGTGCCACATTTCTGATCTTTCCAGGCATCCCAAAGTCTTCTGGGCTCAGTTGGCATGTGTGTAAACTGAGCAGCATGATATAATGAGGCATAGAAGCAAACATCCTTGAAAACCATTATATACGGAGGTAAATCTACAGGTGGAACAAAGCGCTGATTGCACTGAGGTCCGATAGCCTGATTAGAAATATGAGAGGATGCTCCTTTAATTAACTGCAGAAAAAGAACCAAAAAATATTTAGGTAGGCTGTAGTCTGTACCTATCTTCTTTCTTATTCAACTAGCAACTCTCCAGAGGTCTTTAAGCGGATAATCTTGTTAGAATGTAGATAATCCAATTTATTCAGTCTCTTTCCTGCAGGACAGTTTCACCAATATATTTACCATTTAATATATACATTCCTAGTAGCCTTGCTTTAAACAAATGTCCTCTTTAATCTATGTTATAACTGAATCCCACCTTGCACAAACAGCTTGGTGAGAACCTGCTTTTCAGATGCAAATGGCTGCATCCCAGAGCATTAATAGTCTTTACGGGAAGGCTTATAAGAGCCAGCACTTCAGAGAACACAGCACTGTGAGCACCAGAGGAAAAAAAAATCTTTCAAAAACTAATTTCTGACAGATTCCATCTGCTTATTTTCAGATACAGCAGCATAATCTTATGCCAAACTGATAGGAACTACTTCAACAAAACAGGGAACGCAGCTTAGCTTGTCAATTTATTGGGGGTATTTGCTAAATGGCAAACATAAGGTAAGCAGAGATAAACATGATGCCATTCAGGAAGCCTTATTTCTGTGTCCTCTAATGGTACTTATAATCATAGTTATAGTGTGTACCTGGAACATGGTTGTAGTGAGCACTTTCCTCTCTAGCTCCTGAAACTAAGCCACTGCGTGCACAGGAATATTGGAAACAGTAAAATAATGGGGAAATAGGTGAGAGGGAGCCTGAGTGCAGTCTAGTAGCACAACAATTGTGTGTCCTGGCCTTGCAGCCTAAGCTGAGTCTATAGCCCAAGAAGGCCACTTCTGGGGCAAGGTCTTTGATCAGGAGGCTATCCTGCAGAGGAAAGGAGAGCATCAGAGTCAACACTGTCCAGAGGGTCAGCAGTTCTGTGGAATTCCCCATTACACATGCTTTGCTCTAGCTCTGCAGCAAAATGGGATTTAGGAAGTGTGTCAGATGTGTGTGTCAGGCATCCTCAAAAATAAAGCCAAGCAGGTACAAGCAGCTGTGAATCTTTGGAACTGAGCTGTGCTCTGCACAAAAACTACTCCGCAGATAAAATAGATGCTTTTGAGACATTAAAGTAGGACATGGGCACACCCATTGTAAAAAAAAAAAAAAAAAGGACAGAGATTACATATGTGACCTATGGAAAGAAAATAGGTTTGAAAAGCCATCACTACATTATTAAACAGACAATGCCTCAGCTTTCCCTAATGAGAGCCAGATAAAAAATCTTGTACTCATGAAAAGGTCAACAAGTTACCATTTCAAACAGTCTTTCTCTTTGGCATATACCCAAGAAGACCAATTAATAATTCTCTTCACTGCTTCTGAAAGACTTGTGAGGAAGTTCAGGTTGTTTTTCCAGAAGGTTTAGGGTATTTCAGCACTTTATTATTACATATATATTTCAGTATTTTTCTTTCCATCTTATTCTTGCCATACTGTTAATGATGATGCAGGAGACAAAGGGCCTGCACTAAACTTACGAAGTACTGGGGTCGGACGGGTGTGAAATATATTCATACCCAAGCTGACAAAGATAAAAGTGTGTTAATGTTCACCAGCTAGTGGTTATAATGAGCCCATAAAGATGATGAGAGGACTGACAAAGCTATCCAGAGCTTCTTGCCTGTCCATAAATAAGATCTAGTGGCTCCACAATGTCTTTTAAGCAGCACAGAGAAAGCTTTGCAAGTAAAGTACTGCAAAGGTCAAGAAATTGATGGTCTGTGATGTTCAGTCTCCATCTCAGGCATTAACACTGATTTTCTTTTCAAACTTTTTTTTTCTTCTTCTGAAAATAGCCAGTAAATATGTATTTTTCCATGAGATTTTTTCTATGTTGTGTTTTAATGGTTCTGTCACAGTCACGGCACTGTTAAAAAGAATCCCACTAAGCATTTAGGAGCCTGGCACTGGTGCTGGAAACTTCAGAAAGAACCACACAAAATTTGGCAATGGGGCTGCAGCTGATTCCCCTTGCTCTGGAGAGCTGGTTGTAGGCTGGCCTTGCCAGACCTCTTTACACCGAGATACAGAGCAGAAGGTTGGATCAAGGATGTGTCAGGATATGTACTACCATCTCTGGGTCTGCTGACTTGACATGGAGTATTTGGAAAGCTGATGTGGATCCCAACTGAGGAGAAGATATGTCACATGGGCAGCAAGAGTACATCCCAGTGGGACCAGCCTGAGTTTCCTGCAGGTAATGGGAGAACAAGGCTGTGCTGAATAAAGGTTTGTTAGTTTACCTTTGCAGCCTTAAAATTTTTATCATTTCTCAAATACCTGCCACTATTTTTTCTTTAGTCGACAGGGATGTTTAATCCATTTCCAAATTGTTTTAAATTTTAATTCCAAAAGTTTTTACTTCTGTACTGTGCAAAGAAAAAAAAATCCATTTACACACCTCAGTGTTTTACCTGACATTTTCATTGAGCATCCCTCCCTCATCATAAAAAAATGAGTAACGGGAGCTGGATTACCTTCACCAGGTGCCATTTTGTAGCCTTCTGTCAAGCTTTCTGCTTCCTCATTAAATTAGCAATCCTATTCTTTCAAATGACAAAAGTTCTTTGTCTTTTCAAGGGAGGTTTCTAAAAGAGCAAGTACTAGTGTGAGAAACTAGTTACTAGGATGGAGAAAATGGCACTCCTTCCTATAGAAATGTGCCAGAAGTGAGCACGAAGTTGTGACTGTACAGAGTGCAGAGTGATCTGAACATGATATAACTCAGCTCAATGTGACTTCAGGCCTTGCTCCAGGCAAGGCAGAAGGCCTTGCTCCAGGCAGAATTATCAAAAATTACTTGGTATCTTATGGGACGACTGGCAAAATGTATATGGTGGTGGGGAAAAAAAAGAGATTTTGGTTTGTTTGTAGCAGCGTTGGTGGTAGGATACATGCTGAAGTTGGCTGTAGCTGAGGAGGAGAAGACAACCCCCTTAGCTGGTCCCCAGGCTGGCCCGGCATGCTCATCTCGGAGCAGTGGGAGAAGCAGTGCCTGGGAAGAGCAGCCAGCTTGTCACTGCTGTGCCCCTGCCTGTTGCTCGGGAATGGGATCTCAGCCCTGTCTGTGCCTCCTACTTCTATATGCCACGTGATGGTTTGGCTTTGAGTTTAATCCTAAAGTTGAGCAGAAGTAACATCATCTACCTTTAAGTAGAATATACTTACGCTGCTGAAGCTCACTTTGACTAAAATAGCCAAGAAAAGCTGGTCAAAGTCACTTAAAGCTGGGCAAACTAATGCACAGAGAAGTCGGATTCACTTTTCAGATATGATTCCCCAGTGCTCAGTCTTCTAGCATTTGTAGGCCTAGTTGCAGACACGTGGTAGGTTGCCCCTCCCTGATGTCAGACCAAGCTAGCAAACCTCTACCATGCCAAATACCTCTACTGCGCCATTCCCCCACAGCCAGCAAGGGCAACAGAGCATAGAAGAAAAATGTCTGCAGGCTCCAGAGATCTTCCTGCAGTGGAGCAGCACCGAAGGACTGGGGAACTCAAGGGTAGGTGAGGTACCACAAGTCCTTCAGAAACCTCCTGCGCTTTTACAGTGCTGTGCCTGTCCTTTCCAGGTGGGGAAACAGCTCAAATACTGTTGAATATCTGGACTGACTGAAGTTTTTCAGTCAAAGCCTCATGGGTAATAAACTGGTGTAGCTCCCCTGAGGCTAAAAGTGCTGATTTATACCCACAGCATCACTAATGCAAACCCTGTGATTAACATGAAAGGCACATTCAGCAGTTCAAATTCTAGGACTCATGATGCTCGGCACCTTTTGTACTATTTATAGCCACGTGGGAGTCTTTTTTAGCCTCCTAAAATAAAGTCACAGAGGGGAAATGATACAAATACATTAGTGAAGGAAACACCAAAGATGGATTTTATTTATTTAAGTTAAAGAATAGCTTTGGCACAAGAACAAATGCGAATGAAATGGCTGTGAATAAAATTAGAGAAAATTTTCTATTCATGAAACTATTGAGTTTCTCCCCATAAGAATGGCATGAGAAAGCAGGGAGAGTGAAAAACATCAAGAATAACAATAATGCACTTAATTAAAGGGTTTCAGAGAGAGGAGACAGTAAGAAATGGGATACAGTAATCTGGAGATTCTCTTCTAGTTCCCATGTTCCCACAAGACGGAAAAGCTTAGAAAGTACCCCAAAGCATTTTTTTCCCCTCTCATCTGAACTACTGAGTAAAACTTGCTAAGGTTTGAGGGGAGGAAAGAATGCTTAGTCAGACAAGCACTCTTCTTTTTTTGTTCATCTTTTGCTTCTGTGAATCATGGTAGAGCTGCTTCGGCTGAGTTTTTATACAAGAAACATCTTTGAATGTTTGACTCAATGCGTATGAGAGCAGGGAGTGACAAATACTCAAGAGAGGGAGCATATTTCATTCTCAAGTGGATGCCATGAAAATGCTTATATTGCTATTTTGTCCTAATCAATGCTGATGAATAACATTTTGTGAGGAAACATGCTATTTCTGATTAGCATATAACCACCCATATGAGTGACCTTTATGGCATTCTGTTGCAAAATGTAATATTTGGAGGAATAGCATTAGGGTAAGGACCTTGAAACAATTTTATAAATCATGAACGTGAATGATAAGCTACATCCTCAGCTAGAGGAAATGAACATAAATTCATGGCATTACCTGCAATTCATATAACTGAGGAGCTAAACCCACATTCAGATCAAATTTTGGTCACTGCAACTGAATAATTACATGTATTTATAACAGGAATAGTAGTCACTGCAGAACTATGTTTTAAGAATGAAACGACTACTCAAAAGTAAATAATAGCAAATAGGAAGTATATATCTTTAACCATTAAAGTCAGATAATTTTTAGCTCTTCTAATGAGTCTAAACAATGTTGTGAAAGAGAATTCTGTGGAAACGAAACCAAGAATCAGAAATAATAGCAGGAAAGGGACAGAGAATGAGAAACAGCCATTGGCATGATCAGCACCCCAGGAATGGGCAGCTGAGTGAGGAGCATCCAGATATTCATAATTGCAGAGGTTTTTCCACTATTTGTTGGCGCTAAGCATCCACTGAAGTCAACAGAAAGACTTACACTTTCAGTTCAGATATTGAAAGTGGGGATTTAACCTTTTTCTCAAGACTTACAAATTACATGTCCCACATCAAAAAGCACTGAAACTAGTGCATTGTGATTTTCACAAAGATAACCATTTCTTCAAATTTGTATAAAGAGAAATGTGCTCTCTTTCATTCTTTTTATCCATCTATAGATCTGACAAATTTACCAGAAATAGCAATTTGTCTTGTGAATTTTACATGGAATAAACAAATGTTTTAATTTTGTACGCAGGTAGCCAGAATTATTCAAAGACATCAGTTACTGTTGAATGACTCAGGCATGAAACCAAAAGGCATGTGATTTCTCCCCATGACAATGCAAGCTTAAATCCTTACTTCCCTGTTGCAAATAAATAAATAAATTCCTAAGCTTGAATCTCAAATCTCATAGGTTCTGTGCTCAAAAATGCTATGAGACTTTGGTCTGAATTTGAGCTATCAGAGAATAATAATTTTCAGGGACATCAAATAATCAATAACTCTCTGGGAGCTATGCATTTTAGACCATTGACATGAACTTCAGAGCACACCTCTAAAAAGTGTCCAACCAGTATCTAACCAGACAATTAGGTACTTGCTATGGTTAAGTAACCAAATACAGAAACTGTAATCAGCAAGACATGGATGAGTCTGGAAAGATTATCGCACAAGATTGAGTGTATGTGTTCAGATGAACAGATGTACAAAAATTAATGCAATATCCTGCCTGGAATATATGCCATTGTTCAGCAAGGTGCACGGTGGGGGCTTATTTAAGCTACAGCCATTAAAACCAATTACGGCTAAATGGAGTTCATTGGACTTCATTTGGCTTTTGATACATAGAAGAGCAGAGATTATTAGTCATGTTAAGATCGCATGCTAAAAGCTGTGAAAATGTTTTTGGATAATAGTTTATTTTAAGGATGCACTCCGTTATCACTGAATTATGACAGCAGGCCCATGGGAGCAGATGTGGCAAACACAGATGAGCAAACTGCATTCCTGATGAGGCTGGCTAATGAAATAAAATTACACCACAAACCATACATTTGTATTCAGAAGTTTTAATTAGCTCACATCAAGTGTTAATGAAAACAACTGCTAAAGTAGTACCATTGTTAAAGCAAGAAGAATTTGAATGCTTATGACCATGCATATGAAGTATAAGAGGGGGCAAAGTCATAACAAAGGTGGATGAAAGTGATTTTGTCCCAGAGCTCTTGAGAGGAATTACAATCAAAATGCTTTGGGCAATTCCATTTGCTCAGATCATTGCCCTGGTCAGAAAGTGCTCATGCAATAGCAATAAAAAGGGCCCAGATCCTTTTCTCACCTCTCAGGTTCAACCTGTTGCCTAGGAAGGCCCAGGAATTTTGTGTGTGGGAATGACCCACGGAGGGTATTACATTCAACTTTTCTGAGGATTGAGAGTTAGAAACTGGTGGTGAAAATGGGGATCAATAATGTGCAACGATGTGGGGCGATCACCAGAACTGCTCAGTACAGCATGGACAGAAACACATCCCTATCATTTAAATATTCCGTGTTACTTTAAAAGAGAAAAAATTCTTACAAATATCTGAGGTTTGGAAGGTCTTGGAAAGCATCTTGATCAATGTATACAAGGTTGTTGGCCTTCTCAATTCTTCTGTAAAGAGAAAATGAAACATTACAGAAAATATATTATTTTATCAATTTTAAAATATCCATGGTTAGCCCAGCATGAAGACACACTGTATGTTAAGGGACCTTTCTTTTTTAGAGAAATAAATCTGCATGATTCCAGAAGAACAGCCTAGCATACACTAACAGACACAGTAAGATAAGATTTAGGCTGACTAGGAAAAGAAAGGGAAGGTTTGGATGAGAAAATGGAAGAGACAAGGAGATGTCAAATGTTCCTGTATCTGTACAAGTTCTTGAACCAAACTTACCTGAACCAAACTGAAGAACCTTAGATACTTGTCTATAACGAATCTTTGTAATTATCTTCTTTGAATTTAGATTGCTCATTACTTACATTTCATGTAGTTCGGGAAGGCTGGAAAACACATTTGCTTCTATGACCTCCAATGCATCATTCTGTGAGATCTCTCTGAAAAATAATTAAAGTCAGGATATTTCAAGCAATGCTGTCAACGGAAAGGTAACCAGAGACTGGACATATGAGAAATTTATATGGACCTTCTCCTTGATTACAGAGCAGTTTTAAAAACAGGCTAAACATCAGGTAAGAAAACAGATCCCAGATAGACTGAGAACCTGCCACCAAGACAACCAGTGGGAGCTGGAAACAGAACACATCACCTTCTCTGGACTAAGTTTGTACCCGAAAGAGTAGCCTAACACTTCCTGCTGTCATCATTCCCTGTGGATAGTACAAGGCAGCTATTTACTGGATCTCTGACATCACTAATTACCAACAGAGATTTAATGAAGATTTTAACTTGGTGAAGGAAAGATAAAAGGTGACTGCAGGGGAGCAAATAGAGCAAAAAGTTTCCCAAGAAATGTGACGTAGCTTCAGCTGTAGAACATAGTATTGTCTTGATCTGATGTGAACTACAGAGATCAAAATTAAATCAAGAGCAAAAACATGTTTTCTGAAAGAATTTGGAGACCACAGAAATGAAGAACTCTTCCAGACTCTGCAGAAAACCTTATTTGATCTTTTCTACATGCCCACCAACAGCTACAGAATGACAGAATATGAATGGCCAGCTTTCAGTGATCAGGATACCAGAACTTCAGCCTTTGCTGGCCCAAAGAACTTCTCTCTTTTCCTCCTTCATCTCTGGGCTTGCTCAGGCTCAGATATAATTGGAATGCAGGAGCTGTCCTGATAAACCAAGAGGGAATCACTGCTGTGCAACATGTCTCAGTCACATCTCTCCTGCTGACAGTGACCAGGAAAGTAAGATACAGGCAGCTATGCCAGAAAAATTTCCATTGCTGGTTTTGGAAATGGGGCAAAATTATGATTTTCCAGGATGATATCAGCTATGATCAGAAGGTAAAGTTTGTAATAGAGATATGACTCAAGGAATACTTGGATGGCCTCTTTTATTGGTAGTGTAAATACACACAGCTTTAGAAGGAAACCTTACAAAAAACCTCCAATTGAAAACTGACCATCGCTTGTTGCTGAACACTTTGTTCTGTTGAAATTATGATAGCTGCAAATAGATTCAAACAGGAACAGAAACTATAGGTGCATAGTCAATAGTAAAACATGAAAAAATAATCACGAGAATTATTACATCATACAAAAAGAAATCATGCAAAATCAAATCATACAAAAAGAATCCCACTTTATTTGAGTTACATCTGAGCTGTACCTGACAATTTACATGCCCATGTGACACAAACAAAAGTCTTGCAAAAGAAAGTTGTTCATCTCACTTTTTTTTCTTTAAAAAATGCCTCAGTAGTTTTTTTACTTTAATAAAAAGCTCTCCTTCCTGCTTCCCCAAGATTTTTGCAAAAGAAATCCAGCTGTCATCAGCTGGGCTGACAGGCAGTCAGCAGGAGTGCTGATTTTCACCCATACTGTGATGACAACTGTATTTACTTAATAGACTGCTGAATCAGCAGTTCAAAGCCTCAACAGGCTTATTCAGTTCATTGTTTAGGTTTCAGTAGCAACAAAACGCTTCACTGAGACTGGAATTATTTATACTATGCAAAGAGCATAGCCACTGCAAGGAATACAGGGTTGGAAAGTTTCCCATTTAAATAGATAGAAAAATTGCCACAAAACGAGAACTACTTGTTTAATGTCTCATGCAAGTCAGCAGGAGATCTAGGAAAAGAGTTTTCAGAGTCTTAATTCAATGTGGCCTGCCTCATCAAATTAGCTCATAAGCTTCCACCAAAATATTTTTCAAAGACTTTTTGAAGATCTCCCTGTTTTCTTTCACAATAATAAATATACAGATCAGTAGTAATCAATCATTACACTGTATGTACACGTCACTGCAATTCACTCAACTACAGCCTAGAAGATTTAAAGCTATAAAAGGTGTCTCAAACAGACCTTCAAGATTTTGTTTTTGATCTTTTTATGCTTGCTCTTGTTTGAAGATAAGCAATATATTTGCCATCTTCTACAATCTAAAAATAATTTGCCTAGAAAAAAAAAGAAAATTCTACAGCAAAAGCAGAAGGTTTTACACCAGCAATTCCATTTAATCAAGAGATCTCACATCAGAAAAATGCTAAGGAAAAGATCACCGGGGAAAAATGCCATGTTTTTTTTGCCTTGTGTGGGCAAACAGGCTTACCAAGAAACCACAATATGGGAGTGACACTGCTGTGGAGGGTAATAATAATCTTTTGTGACCCAATCTGTTATTTACTTTGGGAACAACTCGGAAAATGTAGCTATTTCAGATAAATGGTAACAAACTAAATGTTTCTGCATCAGAAGAATTTTTTGGCTTCCTAAGACTGTGATGGGTATGTGCTTGTTTCAAACAAAAAATATAAGATACAGATCTGATTAAAGTAGGGCACAAGCTAGCCATGACACTTTCAAAGATTAGGAGACTATTTGATTAAAAAGGAATGAGAGAGAGGGAGACAGAAATCTTTAAATGGCTTTAAAAAAAAGATTAGGTTTATAAAGAATTTCAATAACACTTGTATAAGTGAGATTCAGATATCTGTGGAATTACTTGGTTGTCATACAAATACTTCTAGTCACATGCATAAAGGCAACGGTAATTTTAATAGATAATTAAAACATGTCCATTTAAAATGCTCTTCCTGTCTTGCTACTCAGGCAAACAGCTACTGCAGCTATCATGGTCACGACTGGGACCCCCAGGCTAGGGCCATCCCTCCAAACAGGGCAAGCCAGCCTCCAAGAGCATTCACAGCTCTATTGAAATCAAAAGTGATCCACAAATAGGAAAAAAAATAAATAAAAAAGGAAAGAGAATTCAGTAAAAATGTTTTACAGGGGATAATGGTTTGCTTTATTTTTTATCAGAAGTTAGCTGAAGACTTTAGGGTGTGACAAGGTCACACAATAAAAGAAAAACCTCTCATTTACTACTGATATAGTAAGATGTAATCAATATTTATTATTTCCAAGCAATTGATTGCAGTGTACTGTTTCATCATCAACTTATGATGATCTAAGATGGTGGAGCTTTTGTAATGGATAATCTCAACTCCCTTTCACTGTCAGCTAAGCTTTCTCACTGCTTCACTTGCTTTTTTTTATGCTGGGAGCTTAACTGCAGGCAATGCTGCTGGATGCTCACAGTGTCTGCGACAGAGCAGTGTGCAGAACAGGAAACATTTCCCTTCAAAATATCTACTTTCAATAAAATCAAGGTATATTGAAATGGTCATTTAAACACTTCTATTAGCAAAGGATTTATAGTTCATGGCAGTTTCTTCATAGCCCTTTAAAGAAAATCTCCTACATTAATCAAAGTCTTACAGCAAAAGCAAGCATTAAACTCACAAACTAATGGTTTTACAGCCAAGTGATCTCACATTTCAAATTAATGAAAGAATAAAAGACTGGACATTTATACGTCTTTTATGACAAAAATTACTTTCAGGATCAGAGTGGGGCACACACAAAGAGATAGGATTTTTTCCTCCTTTTAGGAAATGGAACTGTTCCTCCTTTCTAACTATTTAAAATGAAGGTGCATATATAAATACGTATTAATATTCATTTATATTTTTAACAATAACTGTGGAATGGAAACTTCTGTCAGAAGAAAGACCAAGCACAGTCAGGGCAACACATCAGCTTGGCAGAGATCACAGCATCAGTCACTTATGTGGGCTATATGACGTGGACTCACAAGCATGAAGACCTTCAACTATCAAAACCAGAAACCAGAGTGACATTGGGTTGCACGAACTGTTGTCTGATGAGTTCAGCTGCAGTACTACTGCAGATACATTTTGGTATTTAATCTCACTGTAGACATCTAGATGGCACTCAGGTTTCTGGGGTGCTTGCCTGGGTGCCCTCACACAGACCCAGTAGGTGATGGGAAGGGGGGATCTCCTCCCTCGCTGGAGCCACACTGCTTCCCCGGCAAGGTTGACTGCATCCTGCTCCCTGCCAACATCTGGTTTTCCTTACCAAGCTCCTGCACAACAGAGGTACCAAGACTGACTACCTCACTTGCTGGCATCCATCCCAGCTGGGACTTCTGGTCTTTTACCCTTGGCAACAAGTGGGGTTGCTCAATGTGGTGGATGGGATGGATGGTCTATGATCCTCCAAGCAAACATTTTTCACTGCGTGGTCATTTGCAGTTACTAGCGGTATTGGTACCAGTTACTGTGGCAGAGTGCAGTGGTCTCATACTCTGCACTGCAGCAAAGCTGGTTTAGCTCTGTGTCAATTCAAGAGAAGGGAAGAAACAAACCTACTTTGCTTTTTTCCTTTCTTTAAATGCACATACTCTTTAGAGTTTTTCTGCAGTTGTATCAGACAATTTGCTAAGTCAGTTTTACCTGGAGCTATGACTAATATCAAAATTTAAATCACGATTAAGGAAAAATCAGCAGCGGTGTGGGCATCTCACATGCATGCTTACATGCATGCTCACACACAACCACACACACAAAATCTTGCCCAGGGTTCACCAAATGAGCAACCACTGTGACAGGTCTGAACTGAACGCCAACACATGCAGCACTGGGCAGCCATCACCTCAGCGTGACATCCAGAGAAACCTAGCCAAACCCTTATTTCTCATCATGTCAGCAGAAGCAGGCCAACCTGGAATCTCCTTTAGAAAACCTCCCTCTGAAGCAACAGCAAAATGCTACTACATTGATTTAAGTGGGTTACGAAAAAAAGTTACCTTTCTTAAAACTATTAGACATTTGTCACCTTTTTAAAATGGGTGCTTGACACTTCTTTCTGCCCTTTTTCTTGTGAACATGAAAAACTTGTCTCCTTATCATGATTTATTGAACACAAGGGAGTTGCAGGCTAATGTATCTTAGCAGTTATTGACATTTCAAATACGAATTCAAACACTAACTCTTCTCATCTATACTTTTACGAAGATATCCACATATGTTATAGTGATCTGACTGGATAAGTAGGAC